GAAGGAGCGAGAGAGAGGCCTGGCCGAGGGAGAGAGGGACAGGAAAGTGTAGAGAGTGAGAGAGAGAAAAAAAGATGGAGGTGGGGGGAGGCAAAGGAATGAAGTGGAGTGTGGCAGTACCTCGGTATCTACATAAAAGAGATTAGAGTCGACAGGGTTCCATTTTACAGCTCAATCATATTGTGTTAGCACGCGCTTATCCGCGTGCCACTGAAAATTGAAAGGGAAATAAAGAAAGAGAGAAAGTCCCCGAGATAGGACCAAGAATGGAAGAAGCCCGAGCAATTTCAGCCGGCATAAAGGGCCTGTAATAGTGAGGGTCCTGTCATGCTAAAAAGCCAGTGCTGGTCCGTGCGCCGGCCATTCTTGTAGCCCGCTCGTCAAGTCAAGTGAGACCGCCCGCCATTGTGCGCTGCTGTGTTACGATAAGGCATGTCACAACCATATGACAGCACGTTTTCATTTATTTTTATAGCTCCTGGCCAGCGTGAGGTGACTCTAATTCTATTTGTAGATTTTTTTCTTTTTTCAGATTATTTACAGAAGTTTTTGTTCCTGCCCTTTTCCACTACAAACATTAGCTCTTTCCTCTCTCCCTGCACAGCTTAAACGCAAAAATAAAACTACTACCTCAATACAGCACAATTTTATTTTTTTAATTGCTCCTCTAATTTTATTTACAGGTTTATTTATTTATTTAGATTTTACCTTTGTTGATGGAGGTTTTTTTTTGTTCCCCGCTTTTTCCACTACAAATGTTTGCTCTTTCTTCTTTCCTTGCGCAGCTTAAATGCTAAAATAAATTTACTGCCTCAACACAGCACTTTTTTTTTTTTTACACTTCCTCTAATTCTATTCACAGTTTTTCCCATATTTTTCTTCATGTTTTGATTTTATTTAAAGAGTTTTTTTGTTCCCGCCTTTTTCTGCTATACAAATACATTTTAAATATATAATGTAATATTTCCACTACAAATGCTAAAATAAAATGACAGCCTGAATACATTACATATTCATTTGTTTTTGTTCTTCCTGGCTGATGTGAGGGGACTCTAATTCTATTTACAGATAAGTAAAGGTTTTTCATTCCCGCCTTTTTTCGCTTCAAACCTTTGCTCTTCCTCTCCTCCCATGCAGCTTAAATGCTAAAATAAAATTACAGCCTGAATACTTGAATCTCACAAATGAGATTTCTCACTCTAATCCACATTATGTCATTTTCTGCTTTTTTCCACCCTCGTATTGAGTTAATATCATATTTCCAAATCCTTGTGTCTCCCATAATGCCAGGCTTACAGGAACTGGCGACGCCGGGGTTTTGATCAGGCATCCTCCCTGGCAGTGTGTTTGTAAACCATATCGAATGTTTTCACGGCCTGTATGAGCATGTAAATGATCAGAGGAGGGAAAAGGGGCGAAGCCTCGGCACATTAAAAAAGCAATCAGAAAGGAGCGGCCGTGTCTGTGCCGCCGGCGGAGGGAGCTGCCGTCGAGGCGTCTTTAACTCCATTCCGCAAAACACAGACTGCTTCATTATCCGCCAGCTCTCTGCAGCGGCAGCTCCAGTAATACTGAGTGATGTTTAAATTAGTTTACAATTTGCCTGCTCCTCGCTTAGGACAGATCGTAAGCGAAGGCGCTCAGAAATGTCAGCAGCGCTCCTAACCACCGTAACAAATTGTTGCCCGTACGCTGCACACCTAATGACTTCAAATTAGCTTCTGTGCGAGAGGCTGACAGTTTGTTACGTCTGTTAGCAACATAGCCGCCATATCATGAGCCATAAATTGGTTTGGGCTCTCGGGGAGAATGGAGGCCTTCATCAATTTGATTAAAAAAAATTACTGTACCATAGAAACTGCAGAGACAAACTAGCTGGAAAAGAGAGAAATGCGCACATGGAGCTGTGGCAGAGCGGTTACGGGTGGTTAACAGGTCTTTCTGATTTTGAGAGGTTAAGGGGAAAAAAATCACTCTCAAATGAAAAAAATGTGTTGAGTAAGAAGAGAACTTTATACTGAATCTCTTTTCTTTGGAAATTTTCATTGGGATACAGTGGCAATCGGGAGCGCGAGGAGCAGGAGGAGATGAGAGCCACAGGAAAACCAGCTCCGGAGATGAGGGGGCTCCTTCCTCTTCAAACAGACTCAGAATTGCCTGCCGAGGTCTAATCATACAATCATCTCTCTTCTGCTGAGCAATCGTTCATAGAATGTGAACTCTGAGACTCTGTTTGCTTTCTGAGCAGACATGGCCTACGAATTGAACTAATACATGAACACGGTGCTGAAAAAAAAGCTATGAATGTGCAAATGCATACACACAGAGTGGCAGAAGTTCATATACAGCCTGAGACTTAAAAAAATAGCTTAAAAAATAAACGACTGGAAACAAATTCTGTTGCTCTTGTATATAGTGCACTGCACTGTGCTATACTGAGGGTTCAAAATTATTACTATTATTTTTTTTTCTTGCAATACCTGCTAACAATGAGTGAATTGTGAAACTGAATTAATATTTTGCACCACAACTTGTATTTTGGATAATTTTTTTATAAATATGTGTCACGATACATTCCTACACTGATTATTTAGCATAAAACGTTTTACAAGGAAACTTTCTTGTAACTGGCTTTACGAGTATAAATTCTTGAGCCTGAATAATGGCCACTACATTCATCACACTATACTGTAGTATATTATAAAATACAATAAATATAGTGCATATAAATATATACTACCATTCAAAAGTTTGGGAATAAACAAAAAAAAAAAGATGTTTTGAAAGAAGCATTTTATGCAACCAAGGGTGCATTTATTTGAGTAAAAACAGTAATATGATGAAATATTTTTTACAGCAATATTGTGAACTTTTTTTTTACATTTTAATACAATATACAATGTAATTTATTCTTGTGATGTAAATTTTCCAGTATTCAGTGCCACGTGTTTGTTCAGAAATCATTCTAATATGTTGATTTGCTGCTTAAGAAACATTTCTTATTATTATCAATGCTGAAAACAGTTTTGCTGCCTGATATTTTTGTGGAAACCTTGATACATTTTTCAGGAAGTATTAATAAATAAAAAGTTCAGAAAAACAGCATTTATTTGAAATAGCATTTTTTTTTTGGTAACATTATAAATGTTTTACTGTCAATTTTGATCAGTTAAATGCATCCTTACTGAATTATAGTATTGATTTCTTAAAAAAAATGTAAAATATACTGATCCCAAACTATTAAAGTATAATATAATAAAAGCATCACACAATGCTACACTACAGTATGTAGTCTGCTATACTATACTATGTATATAAATGTGCCACATTCCAGAAGCTCCAGTGGTGTGGCTTCCTGCACACAGGGAAAATCCCATTAAATCCACAGGGCAAGTCTGGGTCAATCTGGCATGGAGCAGCAGAAATAACCTCCCAATCCTGCATCTCGTGCCTGGCAGGAAATTGGCACTCTGATGAGCTTTAAGCCCATTTTATGGCTTGTGTGGCACTATTGCCTGGGGCCAGTATTAGCACAGTCATATCTACAGCACAAAGAAAACTACAACACAACTTCCTGTACAGCACATAAATGTTTCAACTTGTTTTGGTTAAAAGAGTGGGTTCCTTTCTTTAGTGAAAGTGGAGTAATAAATGTGAAACTGCTGTGAAAATACCACTATGTCTCTTCCTCTAAGTTAACCACTCTTACTATTGTCTGATTTGAGAGCTTTCTTTCTCTTTACCTCATTTTTGCTCTCGCTCCACAGTCAGTCACCTATGGGAAGCTCTTTTCAAACAGTGAGGGCTGAAGTGGGCAGCCACTCTCTGTGACCAGGGCCGTCTCAGATTAAATGCAAAAGAAGGGCTTTGTTAAGAAGATTACTGGAAACTCCTCATTCTGTCTTGTGGAGATGGGCAATAAGCAGCAGTAGAGAGAGAGGAGGGGGGACACTTGTCTCAATCTTGGTCAGTCATGCCATTATCGTTCATGGCTAATGTCAGGAATCCTTTCAGCAAGGCTGCTGGATGGCTGAAACAGCAGGAGAAAATGCCTCTCCTCCACTCCTGCGGATATTGCGCTATACTGAGGATTTAAGCTAAAACTAAACAAATTGATCCTTGTCTGCTGTCACACAGGGCGGAAAAATGCTGAGCTAAGGAATGTATCACTGGTGGCGAGGGTGAAGGCAAATGCCCTTGATTGACAAGGCACAGCTTTGTTTAGAGTTCAGGAGAGTGTTTGGCACTTGCTGAAAACAGCAATCACTCAAACGCACTTTACAGTTTTTGTTCAGAATTTGCACATACAGTGAAGCGCAGAAGTCTGACACTACACTGAAATTCTATAATTTAAAATGTAATTTAAACCTGAAAATAAATATAAAGCTTTAGGATAAATAAAACGTAAAACAATCAAACATTATAATAAACTATTATATAAAAAAATGCATAAAATATAATATAAATATAAATCAACACTTGTAAATGTATTTTATATTTCTACATACAAGAAAAATAAATAAGAACAATCAAATAAAAATGCAAAAAAGCACAAGATGCTCTTTGAATCACTCAAATCATGCAGGGGAAAAATGAATGGCAAACAAATAATAAAAAAAGCTCATTTTCAAACATTTCAATATTCAATTTTCAATTTCATGTTTTATTTAAACTGTAACTTGCTGTAATAATCATTTGTAATGAAAAAACATGCATTACATTTTTTTAAAAATGTAGAAATTAGTAGCATTCTCAGACCTGTGGGCTGCACTGTTTTATGGAGTTGCTTTTTTTATATAAATGACATAAATTTTCATGTTTAAACTGACATTTCTATTAGATATTTAATATCAAATTTGACTTTTTCAACCTGTGTACAATATCTGGTTTGCTCTTTTTCATCTAGACTGAACGTGTTCTGACCAGACCATCCAATCCACGGTTCACACTGAGAGTTTGCCTGTAGTTGTGTATAATTTTTATCTCTGGTCATGTCCTACCTGGGATATGCTTGGCCCAGCCAATGTTGACCACCAGTTCCCTGTCTGCCAGGTCGCAGAGCGTGGTCAGGGCTTTGATGTCGCTGTCGGGCACGGTGGGGTCAGGCATGGCGTAGATCTTCTCAGGCTCCGCCACCAGCAAGTGAGACACAATCTTGTTATCTGCAAGGCAGCCAAAGGGGACTGTATTTGAACACCGAGGGGAGAACAAAGAAACAGATTGGGATTATACCAGCAAGGTCATATAGTGTTTGGTTCAGTAGCAAAGAAAGAAATCAGATAACATGAAATATTAGCTGAGTTGTTTTCTTTGGACTGAGAGATGGTGTTTGTGGTACTGAAAATGCCATTTTTGTTATAGGAATGAACGACTGGTGTTTTTTATAATTAAAAATAAAAAATTTTTTGGTTACTTGTTTATTGGTTAGGAGATTTAATGGTGCAGACAGTGTTCGAACTATACCGTGGTCTTTGGGGGAGCCCACTTGTTTTTTTTTTATATATACGCTTACGCGTGCCTCAAAAGGGGCTTACAATTATTTACACTTGTAATTTAGCTGTTATGTATCTTTGTATGCACTACTTGCTTTATGCAAGCGCTATATAGGATAAATCACTATACAGGATTTACCGGTGCAGAGCAGTGGTTCTTAACCAGTTTTGATTTAAGACCCAGATTTATTTGCACATCGAAATGTACCAAAATAGTTTATCATAGAAAATTAATCTATATTTAAAAACAAATATTAACAATCTCTGTTTTTTTTTTTTCTAGCAATAAGGGAATTTTATGTTGGCCAGATGAAATTAAACCAAAATAATGGAGATTGAGTGGCTGGTGAATAATACAATTTAAAATAAAAAAAAAACAATAAA